AAAGCCTTTTTCCATTCCCTAAATGGATTAAAACTGTTTAAAATGACCAAAATAAATGGGAAAAGATGGCTCAAATACAAAACCACAGGATTCTGTTTCAAAACAAGAGCTAAGCATTTTAAAATCCTGCTGTAGGTATACCAAGCCCATAGTACTGTAGTGCCATACAAAAAACTCACTGTAACAATACTGCTATTGATCTCAGTACACACAACACAGAGAGAGAGAATACACCACCTTGAAGTCTATTTTCAAAATTTAGGAATCAGTTATTCCACTTCTTGGCAAAATTCCTTTTTTCAGCTGCACTGCCCAGAATCCCTCATAGAATCATAGAATCAGAGTTGGAAGAGACCTCATGGGCCATCCAGTCCAACCCCCTGCCAAGAAGCAGGAATATTGCATTCAAATCACCCCTGACAGATGGCCATCCAGCCTCTGGTTAAAAGCTTCCAAAGAAGGAGCCTCCACCACACTCCGGGGCAGAGAGTTCCACTGCTGAACGGCTCTCACAGTCAGGAAGTTCTTCCTCATGTTCAGATGGAATCTCCTTGTAGTTTGAAGCCATTGTTCTGCATCCTAGTCTCCAAGGAAGCAGAAAACAAGCTTGCTCCCTCCTCCCTGTGGCTTCCTCTCACATATTTATACATGGCTATCATATCTCCTCTCAGCCTTCTCTTCTTCAGGCTAAACATGCCCAGCTCCTTAAGCCGCTCCTCATAGGGCTTGTTCTCCAGACCCTTGATCATTTTAGTCGCCCTCCTCTGGACACATCCCAGCTTGTCAATATCTCTCTTGAATTGTGGTGCCCAGAATTGGACACAATATTCCAGGTGTCCATTGTACGTAGTGTCCATGCTAATTGGAGGATGCTGGCAACTATAGCCCGCAAGATAAGCTTTTCCAGGCTCTGACAAGCAATTCATTGAACAGCTGGGATGAATCTATTAGTTAGTCTTTGAGTTAGTCAATTGCCCAATTCCTTTCCCTATACGGATAGATTTACCATATATACTCGAGTATAAGTCGACCCAAATGTAAGCCGAGGCACCTAATTTTACCACAAAAAAAACTGGGAAATCGTATTGACTCGAGTATAAGCCGAGGGTGGAAAATGCAGAAGCTACTGGTAAATTTCAAAATAAAAATATATCAATAAAATTACATTAATTGAGGCATCAATAGGTTAAATGTTTTTGAATATTTATATAAAACTATAATTTAAGATAAGACTGTCCAACTCTGATTAAAGCATTATTCTAACCTCCTTCAATGTAAAAGTGCTAACATATCCTTCCAGTAATAATAAAGAGAGTAAAATAATAAGTATAATAATGATAGAGTAAAATAATGGAAATGTAATAACAGTAATAATAGTAAATTGATAAATGTACCAGCAATAATATAAACTAAAATAATAAGTGTAATAATCATAATAAATAGAGTAAAATAATAAATGTAACAACCATAATAGAGAAAAATCATAAATGTAATAATAATAGAGTAAAATAATAAATGTAATAATAATAATAATCCCAGTAAAATAATAAATAACTTTGACTCACCTACAACCCAAAGTGGGCTTTTTCAGCCTTAAAAGGGGCTGAAAATCTCGACTTATACTCGAGTATATATGGTAACTAATGGGTGGGAGGCAGTACAAAGTATCCTAGGCTGTGTTGAAAGATGGAGAAAGCTAAGTGGAGTGCCCAAGTTTTGTGTGAAGATTTTTCCCACTAAGCTTTCCTTGGTCCCCCAGGAACTGACTAGAAGAGATTATTAAGAGAGAACTTCTCAAAGCAAATCCACCCAACTATTCGCCACTTAGATTGTCCCACATCACACAATGCTCTTTTGAAACTGTACTGTGATTTGTTTAATGTCAATTTGGGGGGAGGACCAAGGAGGAGAAATCTATGTGAGATTAGATCTGGCATGTCCCACAGGTCTAACTATATATTTCCAGCTCTCTAAGTTTTACGAGGTTGTTCTGTTTCAAACTGCTCCCCAATGTCCTGACTCAGCCCTGAATCACATTAGAATTTCCCACTGTCCTTCCCAGCCTTCAGGCTTCACTGCTCCCCCCGGGTAGCTTTAATATTTGATATTCCTCAACCAAGAAGAACTGCAAGTAACACTGACAAAGCTTGCGTTTCAGTGCTCTTTATGTTAACTGCCCATGCCATCCAATCCGCTTAAAGCACATCAGATCCAAAAGTGCCATTTTCAAATGCATGCTTGGATACATAGCCCTGGCATTCACCTTGATAGAACTGCTATCTTCTATCAAAGGACATTCTGGGCCTTTACAGTCTGTTTTTGGAGTTCAAGCCTACCTGGAAGCCCTTTCTTTTGGGTAAAGGGTATATTGCTTCTTTCAGAAGCCTCCAAAGCTGCAATTCGCTTTTCAAATGCAGCCATCCTTCCATATTCACTGGTGTTAGGGGCACAGAACTCCCATGAAAAGAAAAAGAATAAACAACCCCGCATGTAAAAATTGCTATTTGCTTTTGACCTGAGAGAACATCTCCCTGCAACCCCATCTACACTGCCATATAAAATTAAAATTATATGCTTTGAATTGGATTATATGGCAGTGTTGTTGTTGTTTTTTGTTTGTTTGTTTTGTTTTTCGTGTCAGGAGCAACCTGAGAAACTGCAAGTCGCTTCTGGTGTGAGAGAATTGGGCGTCTGCAAGGACGTTGCCCAGGGGACGCCCGGATGATTTAATGTTTTTATCATCCTTGTGGGAGGCTTCTCTCATGTCCCCGCATGAGGAGCTGGAGCTGATAGAGGGAGCTCATCGGCCTCTCCCCGGATTCGAACCTGCAACCTATCGGTCTTCAGTCCTGCCGGCACAGGGGTTTAACTCACTGCGCCACCGGGGGCTCCATATGGCAGTGTATTATATGGCAATCCAGTTCCAAGCATATAATCTGGATTTTATATGGCAGTGTATATGAGACCTATGAATTTCTAAATCTACCTGTGTGGTCAATTTCCACTGAAGCTGATCCAGAATCACACTGGAAGACCTGGAGAGGTATAGAGTGGTGTTCTATCTAGACATCTCTAGCTCCACTAACATGCCATATTTGGGCATATGGAATATTTGTGCCAAGTTTGGTCCAGATCCATCATTGTTTGAGTCCACAGTGCTCTCTGGATGTAGGTGAACTACAACTCCCAAACTCGAGGTCAATGCCCACCAAACCCTTCTAGTGTTTTCTGTTGGTCATGGGAGTCCTGTATGTCATGTTTGGTTCAATTCCATCATTGGTGGAGTTCAGAATGCTCTTTGATTGTAGGTGAACTATAACTCCCAGCAACTACAACTCCCAAATGACAAAATCAATTTTTTTAGTGAAAGACATACCTTTGGTTGTTGGGTGTAGGCTGTCCAAATTTGGTGTCAATTCGCCCAGTGGTTTTTGAGTTATGTTAATCCCACAAACGAACATTACATTTTTATTTATATAGATACTTTAACTGATATACAACAAGGGATGAGCATCCAGGGCTCTTGGCAGCTAAAGATACAGCTAGTGAAAAATTCCAGAGACAGGTTGAAGCATGAATAGGTATGGAGTAGTAACTAAGCAGCCTCCATGAGCTCGGATTCTCTGAAACCTACAGCTATGTAACTTCAGTGCAAGCTGTAGATGTTGCTGGACTTCAACTCCTGTTTTATTAAGCCAGCATAGTCAACTGTGGAGAAGAATGAGAGCTGCATTCCAATATCATCAGGAGGACCACAATGGCTCTGAATTGCAGGCTGCTAGGAGTAAAATGGGAAAAGACCATTGTCATTCTGTCCTGATTATGGACTTCCCAGAGGCATTTGGGTGGCAATTCTAAGAATTAGAATACGGGACTAAATGGATCATCTATCAAAGTTATCCAGTGGGCTCTTCTTATATTTATATATTTCTTATATTTGACCATGGACCACAACTAATTCTATGATGTCCTCCTCTTTTGTGCTACAAGACTTTACTTTTTTTGACCAGGGACCACTTGACCAGGGACTACTTGACCAGGGACCACTTAACCAGGGACTACTTGACCAGGGACCACTTTGACCAGGGACCATTTTGAGCAAGGACCACTTGACCAGGGACCACTTGACCAGGGACTACTTGACCAGGGACCACTTTGACCAAGGATCACTTTGACTAGGGACCACTTTGAGCAAGGACCACTTGACCAGGGACCACTTTGACCAGGGACCACTTGACCAGGGACCACTTTGATCAGGGTCCACTTTGACCAGAGACCATTCTCCAACATTAGTACCAAAAGGGTTACAAATTAGTTTTTGGTCAACTTTTGGTTTGGTTATTTGGGGTGCCAATTCAGAAAATTGCCCTGGATAGACCACATCAGTTCTAGTTTCTGATACAGAACATAGGGCATCCAGTAATCGCCATCTGCTTGCCCACAGAAACCATATTTAATAAGCCTCGGCACTATAAGACGGTTTCGCAAGACCAGTTGCTATAATTACAACGGTGCAGTAATGGTGAGGCTGCAGACCCTATTTTAGTTCTTGTGGACCACTGGTGGTCCACAGACCACAGGTTGGGAACCACTGCTTTACACAGTGGAATGATTACACTATGTAGCATGATTTTTGTTCCTGGGTTATTAATGTCATTTCCTAATTGGTACTATCATAAAAACATGGGGAAAAATTATTAAACTGCAAAAACTTTGTTTTCACGGGATATCCTGCAACACAATTTGCTATAGGTTTATAATCTTTAAGTCTCGAGTCTCAACCAATTCAACATAGTTTGTGGCAGCCACAAAAACAAAGTTTCTGAAGTAGAACAACTACTATCAAAGTTAGTGCCACACAACTGAACAGGAAATAACATTTTCAAACCAGGAACTTATTGTTTTTTCCAAATGTTGTTACATAGTGTTATCATTTTCCAGTTAGACAGGCTTCAGCAATTTGTATAAAGATCTCTGAAGCAAAGAGTTCCTCAAGGGGAGGAGCAAATTTGAATCAATCTTTAAAAGAGTAGCCTGCTGTGTCAGGAGTAGCAGAGAACTTCAAATCTGGTGCAGATATTTGATAAGATTAATCTTGCAGGTAAGAGGAGGATGCCTTCCTTTTCTTTGTCCATGTTCTTCAGGGGTTTCTCATTATTTCCATTTTGGGATATATCTACACTGGAGAATGAATGCAGTTCAACACCACTTTCACTGCATGGTTCCATGGCATTGAGTTTTACAAGATCTTTAGCTTTCCCTGCCAAAGAGTGTTAATGCCTCACTAACTTATAATGCCATGATTCCACAGCATTGAGCTATGACAATTACAGTGATACCAGATTTCACTGATTTTTTTTGCATGTGTGTATGTGTCAGGAGCAGCTTGGGAAACTGCAAGTCACTTCTGGTGTGAGAGAATTGGCCATCTGCAAGGGCGTTGCTCAGGGGACGCCCGGATGTTTTACCATCCTGTGGGAGACTTCCCTCGTGTCCCCGCATGAGGACCTAGAGCTGACAGATGGGAGCTCACCCCGCTCCCTGGATTTGAACCGTTGACCGTTTGGCACAAGAGTTTAACCCACTGTGCCACCAGGGGCTCCTTGCATTGATTTTACAGTGTAAATGCATTCATCGACACAATTTTGGCACTGTTGCCACAATAGTAACTCTCTCCCCAACCTATTTTACTAGTCATCATCTCCATGGGGAAAAGGAAATACATTCTACGAATGATTTAAGAATATTTAAATTATGTTTCTATCAAGTTTAGGGTTTGGGCTGGAGGGTAAGGTCTAGAAAATTTAGTTAAATATACTTAACTAACGGTGGATCTTCAGTGTAGAACTAACACTGCTTAATATCACTTAAATTGCCATGGATTCATGACAGTTGCCGTTTGCTGAGGCACCAACTCTCATTTGCAGAGACCTTGTAAAATGACAACTCCCATGAATCCACAGCGTTGTGCCATGGCAATTAACGTGGTGTCAAACTGCATTAATTCTACAGTGTATATGCACTCTAAGTTTATTTATCTATTTATTTACTTATTTCATTTGTATACCACCATTCTCAGCCCTAAGGCGACTCACAGCGGTTTACAACAATCAAGCAAAAACAAAGCGAACAATCAAGGCAAAAATTCAATGCAGCATCAACAAGGTACTTAAAAACAGTTAACACAGAAGCTAATTAAACAATTTAACAGTAATAAGCATTCAAGTGGCGTCTCATAACTAGAATCATGATCCAAACTCGTCAGTCGTAGTTCCATTTCCTGAAATTCATTGCACTGCTTATTCAAACGCCTGTCCAAACAACCAGGTTTTCACCTTTCTCCGGAATACCATCAATGAGGGAGCCAATCTGATGTCCGTGGGGAGGGCGTTCCACAGCTGAGGGTTTACAAAAACATGTGCTAGTAACATCATTATCTGCTTGTTTCTAAGGTGTTACAAGATTCCTTTGCAAGCAAACAAAAATACAGTTGGATAAATAGGTGAAATCAATAAATATTACATTTGGTTTGTTGATCACATCTATATGAACAGTTTCTGGCAAGAAACATGGCTTTTTCTCTTCTTCCTTGTACCATACTAAACTTCTAAGGGTTAGAGGAAACAATCATAATGTATCTTAAAGAACAAATGAGAAAACCTTATGAATATCAATTCTGCAGTGTAGATGCACCTCAGATAATATCTGACCGAAACCTTCACCCCAAATTCAATAGAAATATCATTAAGCCAGCTACTTAGTTAACTAAGGTCCCATTTATGTGGGGTTGCCTTTGAAGACAGTCCGGAAGCTCCAGATGGTCTAGCGAGCAGCAGCCATGTTGCTAACAGGAGCGGCACACAGGGAGCACACAACTCCTCTGTTGTGCCAGCTCCACTGGCTGCCAGTGCCAGTCTGCTACCGGGCACAATTCAAAGTGCTGGCTTTAGCCTATAAAGCCCTAAATGGTTTTGGCCCAACTTACCTGTCTGAACGCATATCTCCTTATGAACCCCCCAGGACTTTAAGATCGTCTGGAGAGGCCCTGCTCTCGATCCTACCTTCGTCACAAGTACTGTTGGCAGGGACGAGAGACAGTGCCTTCTCAGTGGTGGCCCCTCGACTATGGAACGCCCTCCCTAGGGATATTAGATCGGCCCCTTCCCTTTTAACATTTCGAAAGCAGGTTAAAATGTGGCTCTTTGAACAAGCATTTGCAGACACAATATAACAGACATGGAGTAAAACGGAACGACTCGATGCTATTGGATAATGCTTTTAACTAGGAGACTCAAATTGATATATGTTTTTATTGATATTGATTGTTTTACTTGGTTTTATATTTCAATTGATTGTTTTAAAATTGTATTTTATGTCTTTGATATTGACTGTAAACCGTTCCGAGTCGCCTGTGGGCTGAGAGGGGTGGTATATAAATGTTGTGTGTGTGTGTGTGTGTGTGTGTGTATGTATATGTATATGTGTGTGTGTGTGTGTGTGTGTGTGTGTGTGTGTGTGTATATATATATATATATATATATATATAATACACTGCAATATAATGCAGTTTCAGAATGCAGAATAACTGCAATGAACTAGATTATATAGCAGTATGTTGTTGTTGTTGTTCATTCGTTCAGTCGTCTCCGACTCTTCGTGACCTCATGGACCAGCCTACGCCAGAGCTCCCTGTCGGCCGTTACCACCCCCAGCTCCCTCAAGGTCAGTCCAGTAACTTCATAGCAGTATAGACTCATATAATCCAGTTCAATTATATAAGCCGCTCTGAATCCCCTTTGGGGTGAGATAGCACAGGGTTGAAATATAATAAATTATATATATATGCGCTCTGTTCGTTTTGAGTGACATCATAACTCAAAAACTGCTGGACTAATTGCCATCAAATTTGGCCATAAGACACCTACTAACCCAAGGAATGACTTAACACTCAAAAAATTGATTTTGTTATTTGAGAGTTGTAGTTGCTGCGATTTTAAGTTAACCTATACTCAAGAGCATTCTGAACTCCACCAATGATGGAATTGAACAAAACCTGGCATGCAGGACTCCAATGACCAACAGAAACACTAGAAGAGTTTGGTGGGCATTGACCTCGAGTCTTGAAGTTGTAGTTCACCTACAACCAGAGAGCACTATGGACTCAAACAATGAAGGATCTAGACCAAACTTGGCACGAATACTCCATATGCCCAAATATAAGCATAGATGGAGTTTGGGGAAAATAGAGCTTGACATTTGGGAATTGTAGTTGCTGGGATTTATAGTTCACCTACAATCAAAGAGCATTTTGAACCCCAACAACAACAGAACTGCCCCAAAATTCCCACACAGAACCCCCATGACCAACAGAAAATACTGTGTTTTCTGGTGGTTTTGGTGACCCTTCTGACATCCCCTCACGACCCTTCCCAGGGGTCCCGATTCTTAGGTTGAGAAATGCTGCCTTAAGGCCATCCAGTCCAACACCCTTCACCAGAGCAAGAAACATAATCAAAGCCCTCCTTACAAAGAGCCATCCAGGGTCTGTTAGAGATCTGTGCATTTGCAGAGGGGACAGTGAGGAGATGGGGTGTGATATTGGGCAAACAATGTCATCTGTGCTTAATCTTTTCTCCCAGAGATGCATACCAAGGTGCTTGTCTGCCTGCTTCTGATGGCTCTCATTGGTACCAGCTTCTCAAGATCTGTCAACTACCATGAGAGCAATGAGTTAAGCAGGGAAGCGAGGGCTCTTCCAAGACGGGAACAGGAGACGCGAAGCAGTGATGGTAGGTTTGTGCAGAAATTGACCTTGTCTGCTAACCCATTGACAAACCAGATAGCACAGCGTGTAAGCCACGTATTAAATGGAAGTGCAGGCAGTCCCTCAGTTACAAACATCCGACTTACAAACAACTTACAAATGACTCACAGTTAAGAACGGGGGTGAGACAACAGGATGTGAGAGAAATCTACCCCTCGGAAGGGAAATTTACTCCTGAAAAAGTTGCCATGGGAAAAAATGTCTCTACCAAAGCTTTATTATCAATCCTTGTTTCCATAATAAGCCAAATTTTTCAAAATCTAATTCTCCCAGGGACAGGAAGTGAGGTGAAATAATCTAAACGGGGACTCCACGAGCAAAATAAATACCGCAGGGATGATGGTGATTACCCCGACCTATGCGATTCAGAGGTGTGTGTGTGAGAGAGAGAAATTAGAGTTACACTTAAAAATGTATCTGTTCTGACTTACATGCAAATTAAGAAGCACCCCTTGTTCATAACATGGGGACTTGTCTGTACAACCGTTTCTTCACATTCCACCTCCTCTTACATATAGTGCCATCATATTGAAGAAACAATTGCTTAGACAGAAGGCTTGTCTAGATCACGGTGGAGAACGCCAAGTTTTTCTACTGCTGGACTCTAAAAACATATTAAGCAAGAGTTAGGTTCATGGATGATGGGAAGTGGAATCCAAGAGCATCTGAAGTTTCTTACTCTAAGATGCCATTACATAATAGAGATTTTTTTTCCTCAGATCTTGAATGTAGCCTTCTTCATGAGTAAGAGGTTTCACAGACATATCCAATGTTCTAGTGTAGGGGTCCTCAAACTAAGGTCACCCTCGAAGGTCATTTACCCAGCCCTCGCTCAGGATCAGTCTAAGTCTGAAACGACTTAAAAGCACACAGCAACAACCACAACAACAATCCTATTTCATCAGCCAAAAGCAGGCCCACACTTCCCATTGAAATGCTAATAAGTTTATATTTGTTAAAATTGTTATTTATTTTAATTATTGTATTGTTTTTAAGTGTTTTTTGCACCACAAATAAGATATGTGCAGTGTTCATAGGAATTCATTATAATTTTTTCAAATTATAATCCAGCCCTCCAACAGTTTGAGGGACTGTGTGTTGTGACTCAGGTCCCAAAGATTGCCCAACGCAGCAGATTAAGGGTTAACAAAAGTCTTTAATGAGTCTTTAACAAGCTAGCAGCACTTAAACAGCAATGCTACTTAGCAAAACAAAAGGACCTTCGTGCAGGTAAACAATAACAGAGATAAACCGGATTATCCCAGGACTCAGTCTCAGGAAAAAGGAAAGCTGGAGCAAAAACAAACTGTGGCAAAAGCGGAGTAAAACAGTCCTTGGTCGATAACGGAGACAGGCAACAAACAAAGTCCGGCAGGCAGATGACGTGGTCCAGAGAYGTTCCAAAATCAGGGGCAAGGCGAAGACACTCACATAGTTCCCATCCGAAGTCAAGGTACACGAAGACAAGATAGCTGGATTCCCGGGACCCAAATAGGTTAGGCAGAACAAGACACCCGATGCAACGCTTTGTCCTCTGCAAAGCTACACATCCCAGAGCCCCCATTTTATTAGCAATCGCTATCACCAGATTGATCCTCATCACTGGCATCTGGGTCATTTCCTTCAGCTCCTGGCTCGTTACTCCTCCATSTCTGCCAGCGTTGATCCAAACCAGGATCCTGCCAAGATGTACCTTCCTGCCATGTATTTTGGAATCCCTCCAACTCGTCACTAGACGTGGGCTGTGTACATATGTCCTGAATTTCCCTAACCCGAGTCCAGTCCAATTCCTCCTCCATTTTCCCATTACTGGCTTCCAGTTCATCTGAACTGGAATTGTCAGCTGTATCTTTAAGCMGTTTACTAATAGTTTCTTCATCACTATCAGACTTACTGGCAACCCGCTTTACTCCCCGGTAATCCAATTCCTCCAAATCCTCGGGTCCAAACCCTGCAAAATCTTCCGTGTCGCTAGGTGCCAAAATAATATCTCGAATACGCTTCAGCTGACACTGATCCAGCTCTGACTCAGCATCACTCCTCCTTCTCCTACAACCGGTAGTAGTTTCACTGCCAAGACGCTGAGCCTCAACACTGTGACCTGGCACTCTGTTTAAAAAGTTTGAGGACCCCAGCTCTAGTGAAAATATGGCTGTCTTCTGGGTTGGGGAATTGGCTCATCCCTTCACGCAATGCATGGTGGGAATAATTTCATGGCCTCATATTAATACTGACCTTGGATTTAGGTGGCTACAACAATGATAAGATGCATTGGTGGAGGAAGGTCTACTTAATACAACTTTTAAGACCTTTTGATGGATGAAATGGGTTAGGTATGGTGGAAGCTAGTGCTTCGATTAAGTGGTAATGACAGTTTTAAATAAAAGCAGTTTATTGCAGGAACTATCTAAAAGGAAAAAGAGATAAGATTGGGATGCTACAGCTATGATTATTCAAGGGCAAAACAGTTTGGACTAAAGTCCTCTTGAGGGAATCTGTCCAAAACAAGTAAACAAAACAAATGTATGAGTTTTTATATGCTGCCCTTCTCACCCTGCCGGGGACTCAGGGCGGATTACAATGCATATATACATGTCAAACATTCAATGCCATAGACATACACATATATAGACAGGCACAGAGGCAATTTAACATTCCAGCTTTCTGGCTTCATGAGGGTATGCTCGATTCCGGCCACAGGAGCTGCCACTTCACCGTCCACTAGTGACACCGAGTCCTTGATGAAGTACTTCCTCATTCTTACTCATGCGGCTGGAAGGTTTTATGGTGTCGTAAATTAGTTAAATTAGCTTCCCCGCATAAAGCGGTGCCTAAATTTCCTACTTGACAGATACAACTGTCTTTCAGGCTGCATAGATCAACAGCAAGCTAGATTATTATTGGTCGGAACCTCACTCCAACCCAGGCTGGCTTCAAACTCATGATCTCTCCATCAGAAGTGATTTAATGCAGCTGGCTACTAATTAGCTGCGCCATAGCAAAGAGGGAGTGCATCAAGTAACTAAAGAGCTCTAGTGCACTCCGCTGAACTAAAGCACTAGACTGCTCTTGCAGGGAACTTGAAGCATGGTACCTAAATATCCTAAAAGCACTAGTTATCATTTGATCATGGAAGCCAAGCAGGGTCAGCTGTCTTCAAAAGCTGCAGGCTTTATTTTAGGCCACATCTACACTAACCACTTAGGTTGATGTAGAGCGAGATCCATGATGGCCAAACAGTGTATGGAGCTGATCTGGGGTAACGCAGGGCTTGTTGTTTATTCGTTCAGTCGCTTCCGACCCTTCACGACTTCATGGACCAGCCCACACCAGAGCTTACTGTCGGCCATCACCACTCCCAGCTCCTTCAGAGTCAAGCCAGTCACTTCAAGGATACCATCCATCCATCTTGCCCTTAGTCTGCCTCTCTTCCTTTTTCCTTCCATTTTCCCAAGCATCATTGTCTTCTCCAAGCTTTCCTGTTTTTTCATGATATGAAAGTACTTCATCTTTGCCTCTAATATAGAATCATAGAATCAAAGAGTTGGAAGAGACCTCATGGGCCATCCAGTCCAACCCCCTGCCAAGAAGCAGGAATATTGCATTCAAATCACCCCTGACATATCCTTCTCTCCAGTGAGCAGTTGGGCTTTATTTCCTGATGTATGGACTGGTTGGATCTTCTTGCGGTCCAAGGCACTCTCAGAATTTTCCTGAAGCACCACAATCCAAAAACATCTATCTTCCTTCGCTCAGTCTTCCTTATAGTCCAGCTTTCACATCCGTAGGTGAAAGCTGGACCATAAGGTCCATAACGCAGGGCAAGACCACCTTTATGTGGATTTTGGCACCACTGGATGGTGGGGACTCACTCCCGCCTCTGCAGAGGCTGGGGGACTCTCTGTGTGACCCATACCCAATCTGGTGTAGGGCATGTCGGCTCAACCCTGGAATATCAATCAGTGTAAATTCAACCTTAGAGAAAGGAACTGGGAAAACCGCTTCTGAGTACTCCTTGGTTAAGAGAACTTTGTAAAATTCATGGATCTGCTGACCGTAATCAACAGGTGACTTGAAGCACCTCTAGATGTAGTAGAGCTGCCACTCCCAACACTGTTCACTATTGTTTATGCTGGCTGAAACTAAAGTAAGTTGTTGCTCAATAAAATCTGGAAGCCCATGTTTTGTCCACCCAGCCATGATATGACATTGCCACGCAGTTTTAACCAATCTGTGACAAACTGCTTTCCACTAACTATCTACTCTCTAACAGATAACATGGCCGGCATAAGAACCGTAGATTTTGGAGCATAGAAGTGGAGATGTCTGAGAGATCTTCTACCTAAGAGTGACAGCAGAGATAAGTAGAAGAAAGAAGTGGCACAGAGTCCAAGGCATCTATTTATATGCATGTTGTTTTTCCATCTATGTTTGTGTCAATAAAAATATACTCTCAGCATCTCAGTTGTTCACAAATTCCAAAAAAGGTAGACTTCTGGATTCTAGCCAGGTTTTCTAACAAATTGCCCAGGAAAGAACAGGCAGAGCCTTGTGCATGTCCATCTGTGTACCATGCAATGGGAATGAGATAGTTGGCACTCCAGCTGACTGCTGTGAATAGCTAATCACACACTGTTGAATCAAAATGAAGAGTTTTGGGGAATGATCAATTTTTGAAGTGTAGTCATTCATTTTAACAGTTCTCATATCTACAGCCTCAAAAGGAAGTCTGGAAAAAACTTGGTTAGATGTGTTGATCCAAATTAACAAATTATGTAGTTTTTTTCTGGCTCTGGCAGCAATGGAGTTTTGAAAACCAACAACAACAACAACAACTTAATTTTTATACCCCACCTCCATCTCCCTGAAGGCATCTGCTGCATGGGCGGCTTATACATGTGACAAAATGTACACAGAACATCAAAGCAAAAACATCAAAGCCAAAGGAATCCCATTAAAAACAAAATATGATTAAAATAAAGCATGGAAAAAACTTAAGAATCAGATAAAATACAATTAAATTAAACATTGGGGTATAAAAACCGCAACCTTAAAACTCACTCAGACAATACACAACAAAAACCAATAGCCTGAAATACTAAGATGGGCTTGATCAGGCTATAAAAGGACCAGGTATGGGATAGTGCATAACAGCGTAGTATAGGGCGAATGAACTATTTTTAATTAAATAATTATTTTAATTATTAAAATGCTTGTTCCTTGCCTCTCAAAACACCAGGACCTCCAAAGTGTGATACAACAAATAAAAACAGATAAAGCTTTTAAAAAAACAAGAAAACAAACACACACTTTTTAAAAAGCCGGAATTAAAACACTCATGTAATTAAAGTAACTCCAAAAGCTGCCCCTGGTTGTAAAGCCTGAAGACCATAGAATATTTATTTATTTATTTATTTGCAGTATTTATATTTTGCCCTTATCACCCCGCAGGGGACTCAGGGCGGATTACAATGCACTTATACCTAGCAAACATTCAACGCCATTTAGATATGTAACATATATAGACAGACACAGAGGCAATTTAACATTCCAGCTTTTCCAGCTTCATGCTCAATTCTGGCCACAGGGGGAGCTGCCGCTTCACCATCCACTTGTGACACCGAGTCCTTTGATGGAGTACTTCCTCATTCTTCTGCATGCTGCTGGAAGGGTTTATGGTGTCGTAAATTAGTTAAATTAGCCTCCCTGCCCTAAGCGGTACCTACATTTCCTACTTGACAGATGCAACTGTCTTTCGGGCTGCATAGGTCGACAGCAAACTTGACTATTAATTGTGTGGAGCTTACTCCAACCCGGGCTGGCTTTGAACTCATAAACTCTTGGTCAGTAGTGATCTAATACAGCTGGCTACTAACTAGCTGCACCATTGCCCGTCCCCTAGAATAGAATAGAATAGAATAGAATAGAATAGAACAGCTTTATTTGTCATTGTGTTATTGCACAATGAAATTACATGCCTTCCCTCGTACTTACCACAAAACAACACACCCATCCCACCCCCACCACATAGTCCCGAATGCCATATCAGTGCGAGACCACAGAGTTCAACATAGCCACAACTCCACAACACTTTAGCCCTGGCTGTCTGATAAGAAGCTCAAAAGACAATGACATTTGTTGGAAGGGAACTCTACAACTGAGATGTTGCTACAGGGAAAGTCCTTCTTGTATGGCCTCTCAAACTGTTGGAACATGTGCCAGGGTCCACAGGGAGGATTTCAAATTCCTTGAAGGTTCATATGGGAGAAGGTAGTCATTCAGAAAACTGACTCCAAACTACAGAGGGCTTATGATGTCTAAACAGCTTAGAAGCAACTTGAAGGCCAAGTTGGACCATTGACAGGTGGCCTCTGACATACACACCAGACATCAGTCTTTCCACCACATTTGCACTACCTGTAGTTCGGGAACTATTCAAAAGTGTACAAATATAGAGTCCATTACAGTAGACTAGTTTGAAGATCTCTTTTTGTAACATCATAACTGCACAAACAAGATCAAGCTATCATAAGATCCAGTACTTTATATTACATCTGGTATAACTCATAGCAATACATTGTTGGGAAACTCCATTCTCTTTCCAGTTTCTGTTACTGTATGATTAAAATCAGAGGGCACAAAAAAGCTGGTCAAAGGGGTCAAATGGCATCAATAACAAAATGAAAAGTCCTGTTGTTGACCTTGCTCGGTTCCATTACACCATGGTTAAGTGGAAGAGACAGAAAAAATCTCAAGTGTGTCACACATCCCCTCTCCCAAGGACCATTTCTATATTTTGGTTAAAGCATAGTGTCTAAAATGCCTAAGCTGTTTTACTCAATTAAGAAACACAATCTCTTAAGAAAAATTATGCCATACCTCAATTGAAATAGCACATATTCCTAATGGCATATGTATACAATAACTGAAGATGAAGATAGATGGAGTAGCTCCCTTCAAGGGCGGAAAACTACTTCAGGCTACACTGGAAGAGAGGGCAAGCTGAATAGAGTGTTTGTGCTTTTGGCAATCACCTTTTCCATTAGGGTTTCCTTGTTCCTTGGGATCTGGCCAGCACAGCTTCTTAATTCAAAATCCTCTGAATGCAAGTACAGCAGGCTTTCCACTTTTGTGGGAATTTGGAGCACACGACCCCCCATGAAAATGAAAAAAAACCCAAACATATTTTTTATTTTAAAAAACACTATTTTTATCTGGGTCGCTGTAGGCCTTTCAGGTTATAGGACCATATTCTAGAAGCATTCTCTCCTGACGTTTCACCTGCATCTATGGCAACATCCTCAGAGGTTGTGAGGTCTGTTGGAAAATTGGAAAAAACTGGGTTTATATATCTGTGGAATGTCCAGGGTGGGACATTCAGTTGGCCATCTTGATTAGCATTTGATGGCGTGGCAGTTTTTAGGAGTGGCTTGTTAGTGCCTGTGGGAATCTTTTGTTGAGAGGTGATTAGCTGTCCCTGATTATTTTGTGTCTGGAGTTCCCCTGCGTTTGAGTTTTGTTCTTTATTTACAGTTATAATTTTAGAGTTTTTTTAAATACTGGTAGCTAAATTTTGTTCATTTTTGTGGTTTCTTCCTTTCTGAAAGACATTCCACAGATATATAAACCCAATTTTCCTAGTTTCCAACAGACCTCACAACCTCTGGGGATGCTTGCCATAGATGCAGGTGAAACGTCAGGAGAGAATGCTTCTAGAACATGGTCCTATAGCCCAAAAGGCCTTCAGCGACCCAGTGATTCCAACCATGAAAGCCTTCGACAATACAATTGTTATCCTCTAGGGATTCTTAGGTCCTCTAGCATACTGTAACTCTTATGATCAACCTTCATTAGAAGCTGACCACAGAATTACACTGGATAACCAAATGCTTAGAGAAGTAATCTCTTTAAGAATCTATAGGTCTTCTATGGTCCTTTTTTTACTGGAAGTTTATTATGCCTGAGAACCTACAGATTCCAAGAGAGAATTGGCATAATTACCATATTTCTTTGATACCTGGGCTGCGGTAGAGCGGTAGTTAAAACCACTATCTGCAGGAAATCTGCTGACTGAAGGGTTAGCAGGTTGAAGCTGCGAGTCGGGATGAGCTCCCAGCTGTCAGTCTAGCTTCTGTCTACCCAGCAGTTTGAAGGCATGTAATGTGAGTAGATCAATAGGTACTGTCTCAGCGGGGAGGTTAAAGGGCGCCCATACAGACATGCTGGTAACAGTTGGAGAAAGTCTATGGACAACAGGCTCCTTGGCATGGAAAAATGATACAAGAGCACCTCTCCATGGTCGGAGTTGAGCATCACCTCCAGACGTCGAAAATGGAAACGGGGAGGCCTTTATATTCCTCTATATCTTCCTGAGGGGACTCAGAGCGAATTACAGAATACATATATGTCAAACATTCAATGCCATTAAACAATTGACAACATAGACAGACAGTACATAGACAGAAGCAAAGCTTCCTTCTTTTTCATCTCCGGCATCTTGAGGCTGTGCTCAACTCAGCCATGGGGAGGTGCTGTTATTCCATTTTTCCGTGCTGAGGAGCCTGTTGTCCATGGACACCTTCCTGATCAAATTGCTGGCATGTCTTCAGGGGCACCTGCCAAATAGTAGATACCTATTTTTGATGGCGCGTCTGGCCCCACTTATATGTTAATGTATAGTTAAATTGTTTGGTTATCTATAACTGTCAATCAATGTTATTTTGCACCGGTTGAATTGCTCCCCCAGCTCAGTTGTTTGGCTCCACCCCTTCCCAAGGAAGAGGGCAGAGTTTTCTTTTCATTCTACCATCAGACAACTCAGCAGATGGACGTGAGAAAGGCTTGGCTCTAAAGCCCTCAGTCAAGTCATCTCTTATCACCAATTCTTAAGTTTGTACTCGTAAGATTCATTCTTCATATCCAGCTCACCTGGACAACATTGTGGAATCTTAAGCGCCTTCAAACCAGTCCTTTGGCATCAAGAGGAAGACTTTGTGCCTTCAAATATAGGCCATTGGACTTGGGTTGTGAATGTTCAGGCTTTCACAGCCATTGAGAAAGAGGGAACTTGGAAAGCTTCTCAGATGGAAAACTCCTTGGACCCAAGACTTCAGAGATTGTAACGTATATTTTCTTTACCCCTTTGAATATCAAGTTTATGCCTAAGGAAGATAACTCATTGTGAACAATAAAGACTATTTTGAGTTATCTATAGTGTCTTGATCCTTGAGAGTTCCAGTTCTCTAAAGGAGGGCAAGAAGCAATCCCCTGGGGAAAAGATGCCATGTCCATGTTTCTTTCACTAAGATCTATAGCCCCCAGGCGCGACGGCACACTATTTATCTATTCACATTGCTGTTTTCGAACTGCTAGGTAGGCAGAAGCTAGGGCTGATGGCATAAGCTCACCCGGATCCACGGCTTGAACTGCCAACATTCCTGTTGGCAAGATTTTATGTAGCTGGCGGTTTAACCCACTATCCCTTAGCCAAAATGCTTGGCACCAGCTGTTTTGGATTTCAGATTTTTTAGATATTGGAATAGTGTATTTGTACAGTATATAATGAAACACCTCTTAGATGGGCTCCAAGTCTAAACATGAAATTCAATGATGTTTTACATACACCTTATACACATATCCTGGAGGTAATTTAACACGTTTTTAGTAATTTTGTACATGAAACAAAGTTTATATAATTGAACCATTAGAAAGCAAAGGTATCATTATCTCAGTCACCCATGTGGACAATTTTGTGGTTTGGGGGATTTTAGTATTTGGAATAAAAACTATTATGGATTCAAGAATAAGTCTAAATTGTAGACATTTAATGCCACCAAAAGCACTATACCTTCTGGCTTGCAGGCCAACCAGATCTATAGTAATGAACAGTTTAGGGTTTCTTAAAAAGTACTTTAAAATAAGTTTTCTGCTTTGGTGGTAGCACAGAGAATACAGTATTTGATTTGCCCTTTAATGGTGGCCAGACCATATTTGAAAGAGTAAGTGAACTGATGGAATACATTTTACAAGGTCATGGTGCTGAGAGGGTGGGAAATTGATTAAAATATAATACAGACTTTAAAATAAGGAACAGCTGAAAGCAGCTCTGTACAACAGATCCGGAATTACGGTTTTCACCCAGACCACACAAACTCCCTGACCTCATTTTCAGGTCTGATTGAAAGGAGAGATTCACACTGAATACACTTTCTGGAATTGAGTACTGCAATATCTTTCTAAATATCAAGGTCTTTAGTCCAGGAATGCTTTAATGCAAGACAAAGCATCTTTAGTTTGCTCTCGAAGACAAAAGACAGAGGCAGCAGTCCAAGGTCGATTTGGAGAAGAGATTTGGAATATCTCAGTCCCTTAACTCTTTCTGCAAAACTGAGGATGGCTCAAACATTTTGGTGCCTTATGCAAAGGTCAAAAATGGTCTCCATCATAGAAAAGTTAGCCAGACTGGCAGATGATACTTACTGTATTTCAGTGCTTGCTTTATTTTTATTTATAGTATCAGTAGCAAACCAAGGGTACAGTTGAAATGTATTTAAAAAGCACAACGTTTAAAAACTTGGCATTATATTAAATGCCCTTTGATCAGTATCTGGCCACTCAGAGTGCCTCTGGTGTCGCTTTAAGAAGGTCCTCCATTGTGCATGTCGCAGGGCTCAGGCTGCATTGTAGTAGGTGGTCTGTGGTTTGCTCTTCTCCACACTTGCATGTTGTGGACTCCACTTTGTGGCCCCATTTCTTAAGGTTGGTTCTGCATCTCGTGGTGCCAGAGCACAGTCTGTTCAGCGCCTCCAAGTCGCCCATTCTGTGTGTCCAGTTGGGAATCTCTCATTCAATATCAGCCATGGCTTGAGGTTCTGGGTTTTTGAATATTTCTCACTTCCTGTTCTTAACTAGGAGTCATTTGCAAGTCAGATGCTTGTAACTCCAGGACTGCCTGTATGTGTGTGTGTGTGTGTGTGTATTCCAAAATGTGGGGAAAATTCCAAAATACTTTTGGTTCCAATCATTTCGGATAAAACTTAAATTGTATACCAAAATGCTTCTATCAATGATATATATAGGGTGTTTTGGATTTTCTCCACTCATAAAACAGGAGTTTCATTCATAAAAAAGGAATCCAATTAATAAATAATAGCCAAATTGGTCAAATGCTAGTTTGGGTTACAAGGGCGTTGCCATGTGGGGCTATGGAAGAAGCCTTAGGTTTCCACATGGGGGAGAGATAGGGGATTATGGGATCATTCCAGCCTGGTGTCCTTGGCAAAACTATGAATTTCCTGATTTTGAACTATCTTTTACAGAGTTCTGGGGGAGGGGGGTCAACTCGATCACACATTGACGGACTGTCTGCACAGGGTTCCATACTTCGCACTTTAACGACACAGCCGTTCAATGCAAAGTCAAAATTGACACCAAAATTCAACACTGCCTGAGCTCTGCAAGTGCAGCATTTTTCCGAATGAAGCAGAGAGTGTTTGAGGACCGGGACATCCATAGGGATACCACGGTGCTTGTTTATAAAGCTATTGTCCTCCCAACCCTGCTATATGCCTGCGAGGCGTGGACTGTCTACAGATGTCACATGCAACTCCTGGAACGATTCCATCAGTGTTGCTTCCGGAAAATCCTGCAAATCTCTTGGGAAGACAAGCAGACAAATGTCAGCATGCTGGAAGAAGCAAAGATCACCAGCATTGAAGTGATGGTCCTCAGCCATCAGCTCCGCTGGACCGACCACGTTGTCCGAATGCCTGACCACTGTCTCCCAAAGCAGTTGCTCTACTCTGAACTCAAGAATGGAAAATGGAATGTTGGTGGACAGAAAAAGATATTTAAAGGTGGGTCAAAGCCAACCTTAAAAACTCTGGCATAGACACTGAGAACTGGGAAGCCCTGGCCCTTGAGCTGGAGGTCAGCTGTGACCAGTAGTGCTGCAGAATTTGACGAGGCATGAATGGAGGGTGAAAGAAAGAAAGAAACGTGCGAAGAGGAAGGCGCCTCAAACCAACCCCGACCGGGACCGCCTCCCACCTGGAAACCAATGCCCTCATTGCGGGAGAAGATGCAGATCAAGAATAGGGCTCCACAGTCACCTAAGGACCCACCCTGGAGGATTATCCTACTCGGACAACGAGGGAGTAAGTAAGTAAGCAATGCTAAGGCTTCCCGCCAAAATGTAATTATAGAGGAGAGTCTACTGAACAAGCCAGTACCTGCTTCATACCAGTACTGCCATCTGTTGAGGAGTTGCGAAGGTGGAGGCATTACTTTTCATTCAACCTTCCTATGATTCTATGATATAGGACAGTGTTTCTCAACCTGGGGGTCAGGACCCCTGGAGGGGTCACCAGGGGGTGTCAAAGAGGTCACCAAAGACCACCATAAAACACAGTATTTTCTGTTGGTCATGGAGGTTCTGTGTGGGAAGTCTGGCCCAATTCAATCATTGGTAGGGTTCAGAATGCTCTTTGATTATAAATCCCAGCAACTACAACTCCCAAATATCAAGGTCTATTTCCCCCAAACTCCACCAGTATATACATTTGGGCATATTGAGAATTCGTGCCATGTTTGGTCCAGATCCATCATTGTTTGAGTCCACAGTGATCTCTTGATGTAGGTGAACTACAACTCCCAAAACTCAAGGTCAATGCCCACCAAACCCTTTCAGTATTTTCTGTTGGAGTTCTGTGTGCCAAGTTTGATTCAATTCCATCGTTGGTGGAGTTCAGAATGCTCTTTGATTGTAGGTGAACTATAAATCCCAGCAACTACAACTCCCACAGGACAAAATCAATACCCTCCCCCAATCCCACCAGTATTCAAATTTGGGTGTATTGGGTATTTGTACCAAATTTGGTCCATTGAATAAAATCCATCCTGCATATCAGATATTTACATTACTATTCATAACAGCAGCAAAATGACAATTATGAAGTAGCAATGAAACTAATTTTATGGTTGGGGGTCACCATCACATGAGGAAGCGGATCAAGGGGTCGTGGCATTAGGAAGGTTGAGAACCACTGATATAGGGAATAGAAAAATTATACAGAAGGTATAATTCGGCGCTAGGGCCCCGCGGAGGCCGAGCTCCCGTTCGGAGGCGGCGCTTTCCCTCCTCGCCTCGCCTTGCTGCCCGGAGCCTCCCGATGGGCCTGTGGCCGGGAGCGCAGGGCGGGCATGGAGCGGAGAAGCCGGGGCCTCCTGCTGCTGGCGCTGACGGCGGTGGGGCTGGTGCTGCGTGCGGCGAGGGCGCAGTACGAGAAGTACAGCTTCCGCGGCTTCCCCGAAGCGGAGCTGATGCCGCTGCAGAGCGCCTACTCCTACGCCCTGGAGCAGTACGAAGGCGAGAACTGGAAGGAGAGCGCCCGCTACCTGGAGGCCAGCCTCCGCCTCCACCGCCTGCTCCGCGACAGCGAGGCCCACTGCCACAAGGAATGCGCCCCCGCCCGAGTAGCAGAAGGGGAAGGAGCAGGAGAAGGCGCAGCCGGGTCGGAGGAGGAGGAGGAGGAGGCCGGCGCTGAGCTGGACGCCGAGTGGCTGCGGGAGATGGAGCTCTTCGGGCGGCTCCTCCGGCGCGCCTCCTGCCTCCGCGCCTGCAAGCGGGGCCTGCCCGCCTTCCAGCTCAGCTCCCCGCCGCCGGAGACCCTGAAGGACTTTCAGCGCCGAGCCCCCTACCAGTACCTCCACTACGCGCTCTTCAAGGTCAGGCTCTCGCTCGCGTCGCACCCGGGAGTTGTAGTTTTGCAAGGGGCGCTGTAAAAGGAAACCAATGGGGCACCACTTTAACTGCTGTAACATCAGGAAAGTTAGAGTTTCCAACAGGGGTGCAGTTTAATCTGTACAAAACTATGGGACACTGGGAGTTGTAGTTTTCAGGCAGGTTGGCGCCACTTTAACTGCTTTGGAACCTCAGGAGCCTTAGTTTTACAAGGGATGCAACTACACTGTAGAGTTAAGGGAATTTGGCACCGATTTAACTGCTATGAGACCCTGGGAGTTGTAGTTTTACAAGGGACGAAACTACACTGGAAAATTAAGGCAGTTTGGCACCACTTTGACTCCAATGGAACCTCAGGAGCCGTAGTTTTATAAGAGATGCAACTACACTGTAGAGGCTAGGCAGTTTGACACCGTTTTATTGGCTATGAAACTCTGGGAGTTGTAGTTTTCCAAGGAATGCAACTACACTGGAAAGTTAAGGCAGTTTGGCTCCACTTTGAGTCCAATGGAACCTCGGGAACCCTAGTTTTATAAGAGATGCAACTACACTGTAGAGTCTAGGCAGTTTGACAGCGTTTTGTCTGCTATGAAACCCTGGGAGTTGTAGTTTTACAAGGGACGCAACTACACTGGAAAGTTAAGGCAGTTCAGCACCACTTTGACTCCAATGGAACCTCGGGAGCCCTAGTTTTACAAGAGCTGCAGCTACATTGTAGAGTCTAGGCAGTTTGGCACGTTTTATCTGCTATGGAACCCTGGGAGTTGTAGTTCTAAAAGGGATGCAACTACACTGGAAAGTTTAGGCAGTTTGGCACCACTTTGACTGCTATGGAACCTCGCAAGTCCTAGTTTTACAAGGGGTGTAACTACACTGTAGAGTCTAGGCAGTTTGACACCGTTTTATCTGTTATGGAACCCTGGGAGTTGTAGTTTTAGGGTGGTTTGGCACCACTTTAAGAGCAGTAGAACCCCAGGAACTCTAGTTTTACAAGGGTGTAACTACACTCTAGAGTAAAGGCAGGTTGGCACTGCTTTGACTGCTTTCGAACCCTGGGAGTTGTAGTTTTCAGGCAGGTTGGCAGCACTTTAACAGCAATGGAACCCTCGGAGACCTAGTTTTGCAAGGGGTGCAACTACACTGTAGAATTAAGGCAGTTTGGCACAGATTTAACTGCTATGGAACCTTGGGAGTTGTAGTTTTAAGACACTTTGGCACCACTTTAAATGCTATAGAATCCTGGGAGCCCTCGTGCTACAAGAGGTGCAGCTGCACTGTAGAAGGAAAGCACTATGACACCACTTTAATTGCTATAAGCCATGGGAGTTGTAGTTTTAAGGCAGGTTGACACCACTTTGACTCTAATGAAACACTGGGAGCCCTAGTTTTAGAAGGAGTGCAACTACATTCCGTACGTTAAGAAGGAAGTCAACTCAAGACTTGTGTTTGTCAACACCAATCAAGAAAAGTCAACATCTGGCCAGGAAACTGAGATGGAGCCAGGATGGAAGATGTCTATCATTCATTTAAAACTTTGGGACTACATCAGCAGAATATTCCTATAAAAGACTCAGTCTAATAATGCTCAAAGTGTGACAGACCTGAGGAGTCTGGTTCACCCGCCATGCTCTGCATGGGAAGGAGAGAGCTGGTGTATTTGGAGAGTGGCAGATTTGCACGGGAGCAGTCTGGTCACTTTGGGGCTTCTTTCTCAAGGGAAGAGGAAGAAGTGTGCTTTTGGAGTCTTGGATTTTGTGCAGGGAGTCAGGTTCTGCTGTATGGAAAACACAGATCCGATCCTTGGCATAGTGCTTAGAGAAAGGATGCATTTTGGAGTTTTGAAGTTATGAAGTTAATGGCAGTTTTTGGAACTATATGTTGGCAGGCTGCAGGGTCTGGCCTAACAGGTGCTTCTCCAAGGAGGGAGAAAAGGATATAATAATATTTGGGTGCATGAGGATGAATGCATGTTCATGTGTGTGAATGTTGAGTGAAAATGCAACTCCCCTTTGTCTTTGTTAGTCTGATGGAACTGTAAGTTTTTGTACATCCAATATAGTTGCATAGAATCTGTATGTCTGTATGTCCAATGTCATTCTTTGCCTAAATGTTGTTCTGTAATCTGATATACCCTCATCACACTGGAAATTGCAATAAAAAGAACCTATACTTTAAAGTTATTGAAAAGTTGTTCATGACATATACCAGACATACTAGGTGTTTTGGACTTCAACTCCCACAATTCCTAACAGCCTACTGGAGTTGAAGTCCAAAACACCCATAGGGCCCAAGTTTGCTCATGCCTGGTATATACTCATGGATAAGTTGACCTCATAGATAAGTCGAGGGCAGGTTTTAAGGGCACAAATATGGATTTTGGTATAATCTATGGGTAAAATGAGGGGCATAAATCGAGAAGGGAAAAAATACTGCTACTTCAGCTGTCACTTCCTTGCCAAAACATTCCTTGCCAAAACATTCAAAAAGACAAGAAGTGGCACCATAGTGGAGAAAGTAGGTTGATGTGTCTCCCTGGACATGCTAAGCTCTTGCCTTTTGCCACTGTACTCAGAGAAGGGGATGGTTTCTTTTATGATAACAATTAAAGTACAATGCTTAAAATGAGTTGTGAGTCTTTAAACTAAAATTTTTAGACTTGTACATGAGTATATAGCAGGTAGGAGCCCCCCGTGGTGCAGTGGGTTAAAGCGCTGAGATGCTGAACTTGCAGACCGAAAGGTCACAGGTTCAAATCTGGGGAACGGCATGAGCTTCCACTATTAGCCCCAGCTTCTGCCAACGTAGCAGTTCGAAAACATGCAAATGTGAGTAAATCAATAGGTACTGCTCCAGCGGGAAGGTAATGGGGCTCCATGCAGCCATGCCAGCTACATGATCTTGGAGGTGTCTACGGACAATGGCAGCTCTTTAGCTTAGATATGGAGATGAGCACCACCCCTCAGAGTTGGACTTGACTGGACTTAATGTCAGAGGAAAACCATATATACCTGCTCGCGCTCGCACTCTCTCTCTCTCTCTCTCTCTCTCTCTATATATATATATATATATACACACACACACACACTCACACACACACATATGCGTGTGTGTGTGTGTGTGTGTGTGTGTGTGTGTGTGTGTGTATATATATATATATATATATATATATATATATATATATATATAGTTATTTCTTAATTAGTCGCTCTCTACCAAGGTGCTCCGAGCGACTTACAATCTAAAAATCTATGTAGCAGGTATAGTCAACCCAGGCCTAGGCTTTTTTTCTCAGACCTTCCTCTCTCTCACCATCCTATCTTTCTTTCCTTCTGTCTTTCCTTCCCTCCCTCCTTCCTTTCCACCCTTTAGTTCTTTCTTCCTTCTTTCCTTCCCTCCCTTCTCTCTTCCCATTCTTCTTCCCTTCTTTCCTTAACTCCCGCTTTCTCCCTCCTTCCTTCCCTTTCACCTTTTAGTCCTTCTTTCCCTCTTTCCTCCCTCCTTCCCTCTCTCCCTGTTTCTCCTTCCTTTCTTCCCTCCCACCTTCCTCATTTCCTTTGGCTATGCCTGGGATACACATTCGCTCAATCCAGGCCCTTTAAATGTAGGCCTTCAGGAGAGGTTTTAAATGAGCAAGCAATGCCTTTGCCAGCAGCTTCTGGTCTTTTCCACTCCTCCTTCTCGATGAGGTAGCTTCCCCCCAGTCCTCCTGTACTAAAGACATTCAGTGCCACGTCCCAGGCATCAGCCACAGTTGTGAGAAAGTGGAATTTGCTTCTCAATTTCCCCAGGCTCTTCTATCCCTGGCAGGCTGCCTTCTTTTGTGGAGTTTTGAGGCTGTTTGATGCTTCAGCTCTTCATGAAAGTGATGCTAGAGACAGAATGAATGAATTAGGGAGTTCTTTGTGCAAATGGGTTGATTTTATGTAGCCCTCTTCACATGATCACATGATCAGGGGCTCGGGATGGCTCAAGATCAGTGGTGACAAGAGGCAGGAGGTTCTGCAAATAAATAAAATCCCACAAGAAGCAATATGCCATGCAGGAAGGAGGTGAGATGGGCCTCTTTGCATGAGCACTCTGTTGGCGCAATGGGTTAAATCCTTGTGCTGGCAGGACTGAAGAGCGACAGGTCGGAGGTTCAAATCTGGGGAGAACATGGATGAGCTCCCTCTGTCAGCTCCAGCTCCTTATATGGGGACATGAGAGAAGCCTCCCACAAGGATGGTAAAAGCAGTGTACCTCCCATCCAAATTTTCCACAACTCAAAATGAATGTAGCTACCTATGAGGTAATAAAACCTTTTGATTCACAAATTCCTTTTGCTTAATAAGGGCAATCTAGTTTCAGCCTCTAGACAATACAAGGCACACACTTCTGTTTGTTCTTGTGGTTGTTGTTGTTGATGTATCATTGCCATTGCCCACAAATAAGTCTTTCCATTCATGGAGCTCATAGCTATCTTGACAGCCAGAAAGGCTATTCTTTTAGGCTTTATAACTCTCAGATACATGGGCATGTTCCCGTTTTCATATTTAGTGCTATTCTATAAAATACATGAGTGGTAGGCACTACAGTATGCGCAGATATGTTCTCTTCTATGTATCCAGACACAGGATAAGCTCAGAGTAGCTTGCTGAGCTATTGCTTGATGCTGTTGTTTTCTGCCTTTAGAATATTTTCAATTTATGATGAGCCTAAGGCAAATCTATAAAGTGGTTTTCTTGGCAAGATTTGCTCAGAGTGGGTCTTTCCTTGTAATCCTCCAAGGCTGAGAGTATGTGACTTGCCAAAGGTCACCCAGGACATTTTTATGGACAAGCAAATATTCAAACACTGGTCTCCAATCCCCAAACCATTATACCACTCTGGATCACTTTCCATTATTATCATCTTAACACCCCCCCCCCCTCCCAGTCTGCCTTACCTTGCTTCTTTCATCCCCTTCTTCTCTTGCTCATCTCCCTTTGATATTTACCTTCTGGCA